GTCGGGCAGTCATTGTCGATGGATTTGGCTGACACCTCCTCGATGCCATCGTCAGCTACTGCTACATGCTCGGGCCTCACAAAACTGCTGTGCCGAAAACAGTTGGCGATGACTTGCGGTGGAGTGTTTTTCCACACGTGGGCGATGATGTGCACTGCGCCGAGTAAGTCCACTTGATACAATTTTCCAGCTTCTGAGCATAGGATCATTCGCTCTGGCAGGTGCTTGCGGTACTTCGACTTTACGTAGTGAATGATACCCTGGTCCATCGGCTGAAGAGCAGACGTAGTGTTGGGCGGCAAAAAAAACTACTTTGATGCTTTTCAGTTCGACTGTACAGTTATGCGCACTGCAGTTGTCAACAACCATAATTATCTTGCGGTCCTTCGACGTGAAGTGCCGGTCCAACTGCTGCAGCCAGCCGCGAAAAATGTCCGATGTCATCCATGCCTTCCTATTCGCTGTGTGCTCGACAGGGAGGCTTTTGACGTTCTTAAAACAATGTGGCTTAAGTGCCTTCCCGACGACAAGTAGTGGCAGGCGCTTCGTGCCGGTCATATTGGCGGCAAAAAGCACAGTTATCCTTTGCTCGCACTTGCCACTAATGCACGCGTGCCCTTTGAAAGTCACCGTCTTGTCGGGCAGAGCTCTGAAAATTGGAGCAGTTTCATCTGCATTGAACACGTCACGTGGTTCATATGCGGCGATGTGCTCCAGCAGCATCACATTTCTCCACTCGGTGGTCACGCTTTCGTTAACACTGGCCTTTTCGCCGCACACACTCCTGAAGACAAGTTCGTGTCTCTCTCGAAACCTCGCAAACCACCCTTCTGACGCTTTGAACGATTCAATGTTCATCATTGCAGCGTACTTCTCACCTTGCGCCATGATGAGAGGTTCGCTCAAAGGCAGATGCGCGTTGCGACAGTCAGTAATCCACCGGAGCAAAGCTTCTTCGAGCTGGGGATGAGCTGCGGTTCGCAACCGCTTTCTAAAGGCATGAAACTTCTCGCTTTCGAAGGCTTGTCGAATCTGTTGTTCATTTTTCACGTGCGTTCCCATCTTGCTCCGCTTCACGTTGTACTTGGTCATAGCCTGCTGTCGCGATTCGCCGTTCTTCAGTGCTTCCAAAATTTCCACTTTAGTCGCCAAGTTCTTTGCGTGCTAGTCCTGCCGCTTTTTCGGCGTTGCCATCACTGTAGCGCACGATGGTGGTGGCATGCAAATACAGTCACAATGGAAGAAAAAGAGAACTCCGCAAGAAGAGATGGTTCTGACACGACAACACAAGAGAAAATGGCGTCGAAATGCGCTAAGTGGAGAAAAAGGAAGACGCCGACGTTCGGTGACTCTGCGATCGCCCCACTAGTTGATGATGGCGATGTCCACTCAGGTTTCGGTTTCACTCCAGTGGTGCCAGCGCTGCTTTATCACACTTTTGTATAGCAGCAGCCGTCAGCATTTGTCCGATTTAAGCGGTGCGGAGCCGAATTTCGACGAAATAACGAAGGTTTGGTCCCATAGATTAACATGCACTTTGGCCGGGACCAATAGAGCCGTCCGAATTATCCGAATTTCCGAATTAACGGGTGTCGGATTAGCGAGCTTTTACTGTATACCGTATACAGTGCAGTCCACTTATAACGATATCGAGAAAACCTAAAAATATGATCGTTATAACCGGTGATCGTTATATCTGGACTGCCGCCAAAAAATCGTTGCCGGACGTACCTTTTGTAGCTCCAGGCTTCATTTCGCTATTTTCACCAATTAATATTTTCACCAATTAATAAATATTGTAGATAGTAGGATGTCAAAAACAAGACTTTATTTCTTACTCCGAAGAACGCATCACGGGTTCGCTGAGGAAGAGAGACTGACCGACGGCGGGGTGGGAGCAGTGGGAGGAAGAAAGCACAGCCAGAGGTACACAGCCGGAATGCCAACGAAGCCCCGCAACGATGCCGCCGCGCCGCTTTGCTTTTCGCTTTTTCTATTTTCTCTCTCTTTGCCGCTTCCGTTCGGCATGCTACGAGTAGCTTGCCGGCTTGCCGTTGTAGAAGGCGGGGAGCCGCGGAGCGCGGCGCTTTGCTTTTCGCATTTTTTTTTTAATTCTCTCGGCCTCTCCGTGGTCGACGCGCGGCGAGGCGCAAAACGTGACACAGCTGGCGCCATCTGTAGCGCGTCGCGCCAACTCGCGATGCTCTCCTCGGCTTTTTGAACGGCCGGGACGCGCTGCCGGCGCTGTGCTGCAGTGGCGGCAGATACGTACTCGCCTACGCTAACTTTTCGTCTTGTCTCGGCATAGTTCGTTTCAGAGGAACTTATCAATCTAAATGTTACGATTATTCTGAATGAAACATGCCGTCCACGGCAAACTTTTCATCGTTGTATCCGATATGCGGTGGATAACATATCGTTATATATGGTTTTTTTCCCCATAGCCCCAATGCATAAAATGAGACTGTTAAGTCGACCCATCGTTATAACCGATATATCGTTATATGTGGTATCGTTATAAGTGGACTGCGCTGTATACTTGCGTAATATTTACACTCACATAATTTTCGCACCCCCCACATCGCCCAACAAGAATAAGATTTTTCATTTTTCCTCTAGTAATTATCGCACCCTAAAAAATTACCGCAATAATGTCGTCTGCTCGTTCCAGTCGTTGATGATAATGACGCGTGCGTTTTGGTGCCATCTTTTAAGCATCAATCGTACTATTATTGCACGGAGATTCAATCCAAGCCATGCGAAAGCGGCAACTGCGCGTTGTGGCTTGTTTTGTATGTTGTGTTGGTAATCTTGTCACGTTATGGGGCGATACTGAAGCTACACGGCTGCTTTCAAGCTGAAAGTGATTGATCATATCACTAAACAACAGGGCTGCCGGAAGGCCCTTCGGAGTGGACCGAGTTTTGTGTTTGCTACTGGCGACAGTAGCGAACACAATGCATCTTGGTGGTTGGGCTTGTTGTGTGCCTAAGACTGAGATTGATGGTAAACTTTATTTCTTCAGAAGGAAACTGCCGATGATTCTGTTAAATAGCCGTCAGCCCAATACTGACATCCTAACTTATCTTTTGAGGGCTCCTGTTGAATGACAATGCTACCGCAGCGCCCACAAGCTTTGCGTATGGTATTCTAATTCCCGACTATTTGCTTGCACTGTTTGTCTAAAAAAAAATCTTGTGTTGAACCTGTGCTTTTATTGTTGAGGTAACTATTGATTAGTACTTCTCAAAGCTTGCTGTTAGTGAGAATCTCGATTTGCTGCCACTTCGTTTTCTTTTTCGCTCTGTACGTTTTCGGGGAAGGTTTTCGCCGCTTGATTCTCGCACCCTCAACTTTGCATCGGTTTTCTGCTGAAAAAAGTGCGAGGATTATGCGAGTTGATACGGTAAATGTTCCTCCTTTATTTTCTACGTGGAGCTATTTGAGACAGCACGCAGTTCACACCTGTAAGATATTTGTATTTCTTTTAATTTATCTGTTGTGACTGCGTTTTTGAACACCTGATAAAGTCCAGTCTTTTTACATGCACCTCAAATGATAAGCGGCGTCTGGGTCTACATGAAACGGTGATGATGTGCCCCTGTCACTTTCCACAGTGTTACAAGACTCGCGCCAACACGAACTTGTTTGCGTAGTGCTACATGTGCAGAAGCTCCACCTTCATAGCTTTCCCTTCAGTGCCAAGACCTTGTGTATGAAAAGCGCACTCTACTTGCAAACTGAGCCTGGGGAAAGACCAAGGCGACCTTTGTGGGCGCGGCAACTAACGCAATTGTTCTAGTGAAAGCCGAAGGCCCACGATTTTCCCCATCAAGGGATAAATAAGTGCGCACGCTTGATTCATATCCTTTTGTTGAGCTTGGTAAAATAAAAAGCAAGGGCCAGGACAAAATTCTGCCCTGGGCGGAATTTGGTCTCACAGGGTGCAACGTCTCTCTGTATGATGGAGGAGCACATGGTCAGGAAACCCATGATAGGGGCACCTCGTTTTTTTTCATGTGTGGAATATATTAAGCTAATTGTGAATGATGCCTGTCTGAGCGAGAAAAGCGCCCTAATGGTACCAAAGGATATCGTATTTACTCGCATAATCTTCACACTTTTGTAAAGATCAAAAACCACTTGGACCTTCCTGGCATGTTTTGTTACAATGCTAAGTTTTTCACCAGCAGACGGTTATCACATTACGTAATGTACTGTAACTTGAAAAATACTTGGGATATTGCTTTGAATCTTCTATCACTATTTGTGACACTTCAGTATGGCTGCCAAGTTTCATTACTCTAGGTCAACAAACAAAGGTTTCTTTCTATTGCCACCTCCTTCCTTAATCTTGTCATTGAAGAATGTCAACCTGCTGGAAATGCTACTGTATTTCTGTATCTGTTCTGTACTATGGGGAAAAGAAATGTACTCCTGATGCGACCTTTTATGTAAAGAAGGCTTGTAAGGGTATGTCAGTTCATTCATCCTTATTGTGGTAGTGAGGTGTTGGGAGAAAGTCCTTCTGGAAGCTGCCCGTGATGATTATCCAGAACCTGACAGGGCTTGCCGGTCCCGTTTTGGTGCCCGGCGCTGCCCGCTTATGTGAGGGTTTCTGTTGTCATAGTTAATCTGAGGCATGCCTTCCCATGTAGTGCACTGAAATCAGTGCATCGCGAAGGAGCCCGTTAGGCTAAATCACAACTCTGAAATCAAGACACTGTAATGCACTTACTTTTGGCCCAGGGTGGCCATAGTTTGAGGAAGTATTTTAGCTGTGTTTTCTGCTTGAAGAAAGTTAAGGGCTCTACATTGCGTGCAATTTCTTCCCACCGAGTGAAAGGTCCTAAAACAGTGCATCACCGACAAAGTACCATAATGCGTCGCCCTCTCTGCCTTTTAAACACTGATTCCGAGTATTGTTTCACGAAGCCATTTGATATCCATGTTGGGGAATCTCGCTTAGGGTACGTCTAAATAGTCTGCTGTCCTTGCAGCTTGCATCTCGTCCCGGCCTGGGCAGTGTGGTCGCTGCGATGGCTACATCCTGGAGGGCAAGGAGCTTGAGTTCTACACGAAGAAGATCAAGTCCAAGAAGGGCAAATGAAGGGCTGCCCATGTGAATAAAAGGCGACGTGACAACATCTGCAACCTTGATTGTGCCATCGCACGCCACATGTGCGAAGCTGCTTTTTTTTTTCTCGACTTCACGTAATGTTTCCTTCAGACAAGGAATGAATCAGCTTGCCGTTGTGTTCCCTACTGCACAGCAGCACTAGAAAGAATTCAGGCGCAAGGTGTGACAGCCATAAAGTGACAAGCTCAAAAACGTAGCTCAAATATATTGTTTTCAGTTTCATCTAAATAATTGTAGCTTTGGCTTCATGAAGCCTGCGATTGCTCAAGCAGCTATCTCGGCAGGCAGCAGTGTAAAGGGGTCGTAAATCCTTCAACATGCTGCGTTCTCAACACAGAGGCTGTGCAAAAAGAGCCTTTTCCTGTCGCAGCCCCATTGGTCGCGAGGACAGTGAAGCCATCATGTGGAGGCATCTCTTAAGAGTCTAAGTTGGATAATGGCCTCTGAGATGGCAAGCATGCAATGTGTTTCTCTCTGACCTTCCCATTTGTCGTGCTTCCTTGCAAAACGACTGAGTATCGCCTCTTGCGCCCGGCTACGCGAGAGGGCGCATTCAGTGTGGAATCAGTATCGGGGGAGTACAGGGTGACATGGGATGGACATCGTTTGAGTGCAGGGAAGCTAGCAGCTAGTTTGAGGTGCGATTTAGAAAAATGAATAAGAACAGTTAAGCTAGGAAAGTTTTCAGCTACTTGTACATGAAGGCTGATACCAAATGGAGGAAGCCAACTTGAAAATTGTCAAGCAAAAATTCAGGCAACAGTAGGGTACCAAGCCAAAAGGAAACGTCTGTTAAGAAGGTGAAAGAAACCGAGGAACATGTGGAAGTTTGGAATGCTTACGAAATCGTCAGTGGAAACCTACCGAACTTTCAAGCAGGAAATTGCGATAGAAAAGATCTACAATAATTCTCGGTGTAGTTCTCTGTTGTTCGAGGCCAGAACGGGAGTATTGCTACAGTGGGTACTAGAAGGGGGCAGTGGAATGAACGAGGCGGCCGCGCCGCATCTCTTCTTATTCTTTGGCGGGTAACAGTAGCAGCAGCGCTGTAGTCCCATGGTACTGAAAATGTTGTGGAGCGTCTGCATTGGGAGTGCGCACGCCGTAGCCTGGGATGGCGTGTAAATGCTAGCTTTCAGCGCGTTTGATGCGTTTCTGAGGCTTTATCAGTGGATGCACCATGGTGCAGGAGTGAATATGCAGGCATGCCAAAATTGCGCCGATACATCCATTGTTTCAAGACCCTGCCGACCCACACACACACAAAAATCTTAGATTTGCATGGATCCGCCTAGCTTCTCACTCAAGCAGGGCTTTTTCTGTGTAACATCATATGTGGCTACTGGAGATTTAGAAGTATCCAACCAGTTATCAAATTATATGCTTGTTTTGTCTGCAGTCTCTATGATACGCAGAGCACACTGTCGCTCATATGAGCCTACATGCGCTCGATTGTTTCACAAGAAGCCAGAGTATAAGTAACGTTGTTACGACATTTATATCTGTAACGACTCAGTTTTATCATGCCAGTTTTGCGGAAGATAATTACTTTCTGAAAGGCTTATTACATGTTAAACATTAAAGCAACACAAACATATTAAAAAGTGTCACTTGTGTATATAGACTGTTAATCTGCGTAAATTCATTATAACCAGTTTTCATATTGTATGGACAGCTTAAATTGTGCTGCTTTCCAAATAATCTATTGACGTAACGCCAATGCAAGCCAGAAAATTTGTTATGTATTATAAGCGTAGTTGTATTGTCAAAAGTGTAGGCAGGCAGAGGTAAATCTTTTTTGAGAAATTTAACTTGTATATGTACACAGTAAACACACAAGCACATATATCTATCCACAAGTACAGGCATAAGTCTCTCGTCACCGCCCCATTAACAATATCCATGCAAATGACCTTGACCGCAGCTACTATTTTTAGGCGGTGCATTTCTCCTCCGACTGCGTTAGACTTGAACTTTTAAGACTTCATACTGTCGAAAAGGTGAAAATTACAGTGCGCATTTGTGCAGAGGCACGCTATATTCAGCTTCGCCAACAGTGAACGCGGTGCAAAGCTCCCCAGAATTATTTTTTTAGGGGGGAGGGGTGCAGCAGAACGACTAACTTTGGCAATCGACCTTTCCAGAAATTGGCGGGTGCCATCTAGGCTGGCCGCAAAGCATTAAGTGCCACCACTGGCACACGTATGCACGCGCCTGCACGTCAGAAACGTCTAGTCGCGCCTGTGGAGGAAAAGGGCGCGCAACCACTGGCACGGGTCAACCGCATTAAAGCCCATGCGTCCAAGGCTGATGCACAATGTTGCTTGATCGTCTGGCTTGGAACTGTCCAAGTTCAGCACAAAACGGCACGTTCCTAACTGGAGTGGGTTTATATGTTTTAGAGGATATGAGAACACATTAAAAATTTGATAGTGCTTCACCCACCACAAATTTAGAAGTAATTGACATTCCAGTGCCCAAAGTAACTACTGCGGTATGCACCAGAAATCGGCGTCGGTGCGTGCGCCGCTCCCGCGAATGAACATGCGCGTCTAGCATGCTGTACGTCTATCATAGGCGTGTGCAGAGTTCTTAAGGAGGGGAGGGGGCAAAAGTTTGTCGCAGTACTCCCCCTCCATGTAGGGGCTGACTTAGTGCCCTCTCCCTATTATGTTATATATATATATATATGGAGTTGAAATTGAGCTTCCCCCCCTCTCTTCGGTGGATGAGGCGGCGGCTGCCCTCCTGATCAGGTTTACAAACCACCGGGTTTCTATACCTGCACTACCAAATTTATTAACAATATCTTGAATATGCTGTTACCTTCAGTATACTTACACATCATATTTTATAGCATTCAACTTAATAATCACGCCTGAAACTTCATGATCTGACAGATTTAAGTCAGTCATAAGACTACAATTGAGGCCAGAGTAGCAGGCTTTCGGTTGATGTGTGTGTTCAAAATATCCTCTAATGCAACAAAGCACACCTGGTTCTTATTGATACAACAGAAATTGGTCATGAGATGGGAACCAAATACTGCGTAGAATGCCTTCGGGCATTTTACATAGTCGAAATGTGCTCTAATGCAACTAACTGTGCCTGACACTTCATGATGTGACAGATATTGGTCATAATATTGCAACTGAACCTTGCATGGAAGACTTCTGGATGTTGTCTTTACTCAAAGTATTCTCTAAAACGACAGACGACACCCCACTGTTAATGAAGTCACAGATATCGGTCATAATATTAGAACTGAAACCTTAATGCAAGACTTCTGGAAGTTGTCTTTAGTCAAAGTATTCTCTAAAACGACACCGAACTGTTCATGTAGTCCCAGATATCGGTCACAATATTGGAATTGAACCCTTAATAAAAGGCTTTTGAACGTTGTCTGCAGCCGAAATGTTCTCCAATGCAACAACCTATTACCTACTCTTCATGATGCGACATATTTAGGTCACGAGGCTGTAATTGTGCCCTGTGCGGAGGGCTTTCGAATGATGCGTGTATTGGAAATATCCTTTAATGCAAGAAACCACACCTGGCTCCTAATGATACAACAGATACTGGTCATAGGAATGGAACCAAGCGCTACGTAGAATGCCTTTGGGCATTTTTTGTAGTCAAAATATGCTCTAACGCAACTAGCTGTACCTGAAACTTTCATGATAAGAGAGATATTGGTCATAGGACTGCGACTGAACCCTGTATGAAAGACTTCTGGACGTTGTCTGTAGTTAAAGTATTCTCTAAAAGGACAAACCGCACCCGACTCTTCACGAAGTTACAGATATTGTTCATAATACTGGAATTGAACCCTGTATGGAAGGCAGCCAAAATATTCTCCAGTGCAATAAAACACACCCGACGCTTCATGATGCAACAGATATTAGTGATCAGATTGGAACACTCCGCGTGGAACACTTTCGGATGGTATATTTATTTTCAAATACGGCAGCCCAATGTGAGGCTACTTCATGAGTGGTGTACATATTGTTGCACACCAAGAGCCGTGAAGACAAGACAAGAACAGCGGGGCAGAAAGACAAGAGCGTGTATCTTTAAAAAAGCACTAACACACACTTCTTTCTCTTTGCCCTTTTCGGCTCGCTAGGGCTTGCCGGCTCACAACTCTAGGTGGCATTATTCTCCCTCCCATTAGAGCATCGATGCTCATACACAAGGGGACAGCAGGGCCCATAAGGGCAATAAAAAGAAAGGAGAGAAGTGCACAGGACATATGCAGGTGCAATGAAGCGGCACTGTGCCGTTTGTACCGTTTGGGTTGGCGTCAGTAGGGCTGGTCGATCTGCCATGTTGTTTACGAGCAGTCCAAACCGGGGGATTGCCGGGGTACGTTGCATAGATTACCCACCACCTCCACCAGTTTGTCACGCACCAAGAGCCGTGAAGACAAGACGGGAACAGGGGGGCAGAAAGACAAGAGCGTGTATCTTTAAAAAAGCACTAACACACACTTCGTTCTCTTTGCCCTTTTCGGCTCGCTAGGGCTTGCCGGCTCACAACTCTAGGTGGCATTATTCTCCCTCCCATTAGAGCATCGATGCTCATACACAAGGGGACAGCAGGGCCCATAAGGCAATAAAAAGAAAGGGAGAAAGTGCACAGGACATATGCAGGTGCAATGAAGCGGCACTGTGCCGTTTGTACCGTTTGGGTTGGCGTCAGTAGGGCTGGTCGGAGCTGCCATGTTGTTTACGAGCAGTCCAAACTCGGGGGATTGCCCTCGGATTCTTCTGCTGGCGCGATGCACAGGAGTGATCAGTACGACGCTTGAGTTTTGCTATGTGGAGGGGTACGTTGCATAGATTACCCACCACCTCCACCAGTTTGTCACGCACCAAGAGCCATGAAGACAAGACAGGAACAGCGGGGCAGAAAGACACGAGCCTGTATCTTTAAACGAAGCACTAACACACGCTTCTTCGTTCTCTTTGCCCTTTTCGGCTCGCTAGGGCTTGCCGGCCTCACAACTCTAGGT